ATACTTTTAGAACCTTAAGGGCCCCACTTCTCAAGCCGGGAGCTGCCAAGCCTTCGGCATTTCTCCAATGGCTTAGGGCTTTGAGGGGACGTATAAACACTAGAATAGGCTAAGGTTTAGGGTTTAGGGGTTAGGGGTTGTGGGGCCCATTATGCTATCATCATAATCAGGAACCCCCCCCAAAAATAGCATTGGTAACTATCTAGGCCCCTATATTAGGGTGTAGGGTGGCTCTGTCAGTACCGACCATGGCGGGTCCACTCCCTGAAGTCTTGAGGGGCTGCAGTGCAGTGCACATGATGTAGGGGCCGTAATAATTAGAACAGGGCTTTGGGGTATATTATGAACAGGGCTTTGGGGTATACTATACTATAATCATAATCATAATAAGGAGCCCCCAAAATAGTATAGCAGTATAGGTACGTATATTGTACTATAACAATAATAAGGAACCCCCCCAAAAATAGTATAGGTACTTATTGAGGCTCCTAGATTGCCCTTTCATGCCAGGAGCTCGGAACCCTGAAATTGCCGTGTCGCAGTCTTGTGGCCGGCACATTCGAGGAAGCATCGACTTTAAGCAAGAGGCTGAAGGAAGCAAGGCGGCACGATAAATCCTAAAACCAGAGAGATATACGATTCCGGCATCTGTTTGGGGGGGTTGGTATAACGAAGACTACTGACAACTGCAGCCCTCATCCCAGGCCCAGCTGACCCCTAAACCCTAAACCGACCTCGGTCACCGCCGAAAAAGTCGGCAACGTCGACTCTGCTGCGTCGCTCCGCAAGCTACTTGTTGGTTTCAGTACATCCACCTGTGGGCTTCGGGGTTCCGGGTTTAGAAGGCTTGGGGTTTACGGGGGTTACGGATGTTTGTTAAGGCAGCTTGAGGGTTTAAGGTGTCAGCTACTCGTTGACCCTAAATCCGAAGATCCCAACTCCTGAACATATCAAACGTCCATAACTCAATCCCCGGCGTACCCCAGGGCTGATGGAGGCCGTCTGAAAACTGGCAAAGTTGTTACTGGGGCCTCATGATGTGGGGGTCATAGAGTCATAGAGAGGATTTTCGGACTCAGAGCGTGGGCCCTTGTTCGGCTTTTGGCGCCCTCATAAAGCCATTCTAGAACCCTTGCAAAAACCGTACAGACTCCCGGAAACCTGCTACGTCTTCTTTCTCGCTCTTCGGAGGATGGGATGCAGGGCTGCTGCGGTGATTGGCGACTCCGGAAACAGCAAGGTAGGCCTGAACCATCGTAAACCTGCAAAGGAATCGGGTTTAGGGTTTAGGGTTTAGGGGCCCTAAGCAAAGACATGTATGCAAAAAACAGGTGGCAGAGTGCGAGCGAGAGCGAACGAGAGACAGGGAGTGAGAGCGACAAACAAAGCGAGGGCCAAAGGAAGTTAAACAGGAACCGGCAAGAAAGGGAAAACTGCATCGGCTTAGGGATTAGGATGGTAGCTCGTTTCTGCCTCATTGCCATTCGTTGGCTCTGGCTCTTCCAAGAGCGTAGCGGAGGCCGTGCCCCGGATGTTGAGCGGCAGACCTCAGCCGAATCCATTGTCTTTTGGTCCTATTCTAAAGTGTTTCGAAGCTTTTCATAGTACGGTATGGTATCTTATGGTCCTATCCCTATCACAGTACATGCAAGTATATTCTAGCATCTTATAGCACATTACAGTAAACTGTCGCAGACATGACAGTATATTCAACAATGACGGCAGCAATCAGTAATGTCAACATCAGGCTGGATGTGGAAACACCGGAGACTAAGGCGGCCACTCCCACCCAAATGATTCGCACTGGCGCTCCTGATGGGAGTTTCCGAAAATAAGGGGTATCTTATTTGGGGGCCTTATAATCAGGATCCGACTATTTAGGGTACTACAATAGGGTCCCCTATTTTCGGAAACCCCCTGATAGGACAGAGGGGTAGCACTTTCTGCTGTTGCCGTCGGCGTCTCAACTACATTTCGTGGTTCCAAATTTCGGGCTTCCCGCCCGGTGCCTCACACAAGTCGAAACCATAGGGCCATATACAGCCCTCTTCAACACCTCTTCGTATCAAGTTCCAACAATCTCGCATTGTAATCCGATTCGCTCCGATATCCCAAGCCCCATAACGCTGACTCATCTCTCAACCCCTGTACTGTAGAAGCCCGTTGATTTCGCGGGTCTTCGGTCCGTGTCCTATACCTATGCCCATACCTATCCCCTGCTCGCAAACGCTCTTTCGGGTCGCTTTCAATGCATGTTGGGCAGAAAGACTGGATCCCTCAACTTGCTTCAATGCGAATGCTGCAGCAACACCACGAGTCATCATGATCATGGCCAGCATCATCACCGCCATCAAGGACAACGGCGCAAAGTCAAACTCCGGTTAGGACGACCTGACGTCTGCAATATCCTCGCAGAAGAGCACCAAAGCCATTTTACATACATATGTATGTATACATTTACTTATATATATATATATACATATATATATATATACATATATATATATACATATATATATTTGTATATATATATATATATTATGTCTTTCTCTCTCTCTCTCGCATTTTCCTCAACCCAGAAAGCCCTAACATTGAAGCCTACGGCTACGACTGTTGCTACCACTACGGCAACTGCTACAGTAGTAACTTAGTACTGCACCTTTGCTGAGAACCGTACAACAACAACACCAACAGCGGCAGCAACAGCAACAACAGCAGCAACAACAATACCAACAGCAGCAATAACAGCAACAGCAACAGCAACAACAACAACAACAACAACAACAACAACAACAACAGAAACAGCAGCAACAACAGCAGCAACGGCAACAACAACGACAACGACAACGACAACCACAACAACAGCAACAACAAACAACGACGACAACAACGGAAACGACAAAACCAACAACCAACAGCAGCAACAACAACAACAACACCAACACCAACACCAACACCACCAACACCACCAACAACACCAGCAACACCAACAACACCAACAACACCAACACCAACACCAACACCAACAACACCAACAAC